GGAGATCCCTTGTATGTAACTTTCCGTCTCTCTCTTGCAGCCTGTAAGATTCTCTCTTTGTCCTGAACATTTGCCATGGTAATTATGATGTGTCTTGGTGTGGGTCTTTTTGGGTTCACCTTGTTTGGGACTCTCTGGGCTTGTGTGACTTTTTTCTTCCCCACCTCAGGGAAGTTTTCTGATATTATTTCTTCTAATAGGTTTTCTAATCCTTGTTCATCCTTCTGTTGTTCTGGTACCCCTATTATTCGTATGTTGTTTCGTTTCATGTTGTCCCAAAGCTCCCTTAGGCTCTCCTCCTGTCTTTTCATTTTTTTCTCCAATTGCAGTACATTTTGGGTGTGTTTTGCTTCCTTGTCTTCTAAATCACTAATTCGGTCCTCCGCTTCTCCTAGTCTACTGTTGATACTTTCAATGGAGTTTTTCATTGCAGCTATATCACTCTTCATATCTTCTTGGGTCTTACTTAAGTTGTTGATTTTTTCATCTGTTTCTTCTAGCTTCTTCCATATGTTATCGATTTTTTCATCTGTTTCTTCTAGCTTCTTCCATATGTTATCGATTTTTTCATCTGTTTCTTCTTGCTTCTTGCTGAGGTTGTCGATTTTTTCCTCCATCCGGTTTATGCACTCTAGGACCCTTATTCTGAATTCTTTTTCTGTCATGTTGCATGCCTCTGTATTACTTAGCTGCTTTTCTGGAGAGTCCTCCTTCTCTTTCCTTTGGGGGTTTCTTTGTCTACCCATGTTTGATCTCACTGACATATCTAGACGTTGAGTCGTTCAGTGGCTGCTCCCTTGGTGGCAGTGACTCCTTGGTCTGCGGTTCCTCTTCGGGCGGTTGCGGTAACAGCTGCTCTTCAGTTGGCAGCAACTCCTCTGGTGGGTGCTGTTCACAGCTGTGGTGGCTCTTCTGGCTGGTGGGGCGAGGTTTCACGTACAGCTGCTGTTCCTCAGCAGAGGGTGTGGTGCTCAGGAGGTTGCTGTTGCTTGGATCTGCTGTGTTGATTTAAAGGCACAAAATACAACACAACAAGGCACCACATACCAGGCACTATACACAAATATATTCATGATATTAATAACCCCAAATAAAGGTGAGCACCTGAATTAAGAGAATTAGGGGATAAGGAAAAGGAAGAGAAAAAGAGAAAAGAGAAAAAAGAAAAGAAAATTAGGGACCAAAAAAAGGAGTGCAAAAATGAAAGTGGGAAAAAGGAGGGGGGAAAGTAAAAGCGAGAAGAGAAAGGAAAAGAAAAAAAAAAGAGCGAAAAGAGAGAATGAAGTGGAAGAGGGGAAGAGACTTTTAATATGAGGAGAATACTCCTATAGAACAGCCATTAATCCCAACAAATTTCAGCAACAGCTTCCTGGAGATAAATGCAAACTAGAAACAACCAATAATATAACGATGAAAATAGAATGGAGAACACTAATCCCAAAATAAAATAAAGAGAAAATAAAATGGCACTTTAAAAAAAATGGTAAAATGGTAGCAGTAATAATACTGGTTAAAAATAAGAAGGTAGTAATTAAAAGGGTAAAATCAGGTGATGGAAAAAAGAAGAAAAAAAAAAAAAAGAAGAAGAGGAAAAGAAAAAAAAAGAAAAAAAAAGAAAAAAAATTGGTTTCTTAGTTAAAAGGTGAAAAAAAAAAAAAAATATTGCAGTAGTGAAGGTCCTTCGGTTCTTCTATTCTTCAGTGTGGCTCGCCTTAGACCTGCCAGGTATTCAGGAGAGTGTTGAGTTTCCCTGCGATACACTGTTCCTCTGTGTTGTAAACCACAGTCCTTATTTTAAAGCAAGCCGCATTTGTTTCCCAGATTGCCTTATTTTGTGTTTAGCAAAGAGTCAGTTTGTGGGTCAGCCTCTGGGTGGCAGTGTTCTGGGGTTGGCCTCTGAGGCTACAGGGCCTCTCTGTCCAGTGGAAGTTCACTGCCCAGAGCTGGCTGCGTAAGAGTTACCAGTGCTGTGTTGTTGCTGGGATTGAAAATCCCTCTATAGGCCAGACCCTGTTAACTCCCAGGGACTGATCAGGTTATTTTAATCCTTGATCTCCTACAGGGTGGAATCTGGGTGTGGCTGTGCTCCTTGCCTGGGGGCTGGGGGGAGGAGTCTCACTCTCCGGAGAGAATGGCTGCCTCAGACGTGGGCTCAGGGGTGTCTCAGCACTCAATTCGCTGCCACCTCTCCCGGCCCCCCTTCTCTCCTCAGTCTCTCCCCAGATTCCACTCCTCCGCACACTCTCCCTCTCTTCAGCACAGGTGAGTGTCTGTATCCGAAATGTCCCATGAAGAGGGTTCAGTGAAAACAAACAAACAAATGCCGGCCGCGGAAACGGGGAAGGCTTGGTTTCTGTAAGCTTCTTCTCTTACCGGGACTGCATGGTCTGGTCAGCTCTTCAGGCTGCCCCCTTTAGGCTCAGTCCTCTGTGATCACAGACCCAGCTCTCAATTCCCCCGGCAGCGCCAGGAATCCCGCGGTTCTCCTTTCCCCCGTCAGGGGCTGTGCCTGTCCCAAGGGACGCGGCTGTCTGCCACGCGGTCTCCCTCCGACTCTCTGGGCTCAGAGGTCTGGCAAACTTTCCTGCCCAAATCCCTGGTTTTTTTTTACCTTTCCAGGGGAGTTCTGCTCTTCCCGGCTGTAAACCGTCTCGCCAGCTGAGGAATTTCGCCAATTCGGGGTGGATGTTACTAGTTTCAGCTGCTCACTCCATTTGCTCAGGGACACGACCTGGGACGCGTCTGCCTATACCGCCGCCATCTTCCTGAATCGAGAATTTGAAGCTTTCTGCTATTGGTCTTGTGCCTTGGTTTTTCCAATCAACATACAGTATACTTGATTGAGGGGCGGAGGGTGGGGCATGGAGATGAATATTGCATAATGCTAATCCTCCAGGAGCTCATGGAGACTACAGGACCGAAGGGACTTTTGAGATGTTATTTCTCAACCCCTGATCCTCAGAATTCTGGTGGGAGCAGATGGACTTGTGTGAGGATAACTCATTAAAATATACTAGTGGAAATACACACACACACACACACATATACATACACACATACACATACTAGTGAAGAAACTTTTCAATGAAAACTTTCTATACATTTGTTTTAGATCTTGGCAATCTGCTGTGGTTTACTCTAGGGGGTGCTATAAAATAAGCAATTAATATTTAGAAAAAAATCCCAAAATGTGGCAACAGATGCTCACACTTGGACAACTCTTGTTTTGTGGACACATGTGCTCCCGACAGTGATTTTCTATTGTGTTTTATGTGTAAATTTGATGTTATTTAGTGACTTAAACAACTTAGTGAAGGGGAGACTTGTGTGCTGAGCACAGGTTAGGTAAAGGAGTGAAATGAATCCTTTTTCCAGGGTACTTTGCACTGGAGCTGTGACTTTTCCTGGCAGTGTTGGGAGGGACCGAGCTCTGCCAGCCATCTGGAGCACTCAGCTGTGGAGTTTATTATTTTAAACAATCATTTTTTAACTTTTTTCCTATCCATCTCCCCCCCCCCCGCCCCCTCACACACACACACACACAACTATCAGCTTGTTCTCTATATCTATGGGTCTGTTCCTATTTTTGTTTTGCTTATTTGTTTTTAAAAAAATATTCTACACCTTAGTGCAATGTTTGTCTTTCTCTGACTTATTTTACTTAGTATAAGTAAAGGTCCATCTATTTTGTTGCAATGAAGATGGTGATTCAGGAGATCAAATGTCCTGAATACGCGTGCAGGCTTTACATGTGAAGGGGTGTGTCCTGAAATCCTCCATATCTCATACTGGCCATGCATATGCCATTGTATTTTCTGACTATTGAAATTATAAAACTGTGGTGAGTGTTTATCCTTTATGATTTAAGATATTTCCAGGAATTTTGGAGTAGGAGACAATATTACTACCCAGCAATATTCTTGGAAACAAAATTCTTAAAGAATTTATAAAAATTGGCTTGGATCTTTGCCTTACAAATGGAATGGAAGAAAGGCTAGTACACAAATTAGGCAAGTTTCTGCCCTGTACATATAGCGATGCTACTGATATTACCATAGGTAAGCATATGTTGGGAGGAGCTTTTTAAGTTGTAGGAAGGCTTATGGGATCCATCCACACTAACGTCCTTGTTAGTTGAGGCGTTTATTGATGCAGTCAGCATTTACTGGCTATCTACCACATTCCAGGTACAGTCACCCTTCTGTATCCACAAATTCTGAATCTGTGAATTCAATCAACCACAGATTTAAAGTATGGGGGTGGGGTGGGGGAGAGGAGGTGGAAGGAGAGTTACATTGTTGCTGATGTGTCCTATGTAGTTAGGTCTATGATGGTTGGGTCTGTACTGAACATGTAGACATTTTTTCTTGTCATTAATCCTTAATACAGTCTAACAACTATTTACGTTGCATTAGGTATTATAAGTAATCTAGAGATGATTTACATTATGGAAATATTTTGCAATTTTATTTAAGGGACTTGAGCATCTGCAGATTTGGGAATCTATAGGGAGTCCTGAAATCAATCCCCAGTGGATACCAAAGGATGGCTATAGTAGGCATTTGGGTCTGATTGTCCTTTATGCTCAATAAGCTTATGCCCCACTAGGGGGAGCCAAATACACATATAAATAAGCATAACTGCTGCCCGTGCGGGGATAGAAGTCGCTGTGGAGATGTGAGTGGAGGAGGGTATCAGGAAGAACTAAGCCCCAGGACAGGTCAGGAAGAATCTTCATAGGGAAGGTGTCTCTGAACACGTTTCCAGGTAAGGAGGCTGCTGAGGTGAGCATGGAACTGTTAGGTTTTTGTGTGATGCCAACTGGAGTGACCGAAGATGAGACCTTTGGCCTGGGCCTTGTTTCCCACACATGCTCAGTCTTGTTGACTGACCTGGTCTGAGGAACAAAGATCCCCCTGCAGGTTCAACGTGGATGCCTCAGGACAACACAGCTGTGGCCGAGGCTTTGATGGTGTGTAAGTGATGCCTGAGTGACACAGTTTTTAGAAATCATCTCTTCTTTATTGCTACGCTCATATAAAAAGTTTGATACATTTGGGGAGGTAAAAGAAAGCCACAGTGTATATAAAGAAAGTTGTAGGAAGTTAAAAAAAATATGGCTTTAGTGTTTGGAAAAGCAGTTATGAATTGCTCCTTGGGTTTACTTATCCAGGCGATCAAAATTCTGGGTTTGGAACTCTTGGAAGTCTTCTGGGATGGTGTCTGCGAACAAAAACAGGCACAGGGGTTAGAGCGGGTCCTTACACAGGAATGCTGCTCCATCTCACCCAGCGCAGGCAGCCTGTAGGGGGCACTGTCAGCCTGTCCACCATTTCCTACTTCAGGCTGCTTGGGGGACCATTGCCTCGAAGCCCAGGAGGGCTCATTCACAGGCTGAAAGGAAATCAGCAGGCAGAGTAAATGCTGAGTCTGATTATGTTAGAGCTGTATGCAAATAAAGGCTGCCTGAAAATTAAACCTCAAACCCTATGCCAAGAGGTTAAATTCCATGGGTCTCAATGTCCTCATCTATCAAATAGGAAAAATGAGATCTACCTTTTACTTCAGCTACAGGGACGACCAGGTTTTAATGAATATGTGGCGTAAATGCTGGGCTTCGGGGAGGAAAGTGTGCTATAGAAATGAGGTGGCATTAATTGATTACTTCTAGTGATATTGTGCAGTAACAAGAATGTACGTTACCATTGCAGCGATACTTAAGGTTGGACCAAATGATGTTTTCCTGGGAGAAGCAGAAGACGCCGAGCCGGCCTCCTCGCATGGTGGTGTCTATGGTGACTCCAGAGTCAGCCACCAACTCGGAGCCTTCATAGAATCGCACCCTGTGGACAACACAGCCCGAGCAGACCCATGAGGCTCAAACCAAGGTAGGTGATGTGCCCATCCTGAGGCTGGAGCTCCCACTTCTTGGACAGGTGCATCTTTGCTCTGTTTCCTATTCTGTTTTTCACAGACTTGGATTGTGCCCTCGCTGTTCCCCCTTCCCTACTAGATGGGAAGTTCCAGGAGTTCAGGGACCATGTCTTCCCAAAGGCCTAACAAGACAGTGGGCACAGAGTCCCACTCAATGGGTACTTGTCAGTTACAGAGCAACCATAATATGACCCAGGACCAAGAAGTTCTGTGGCTTCATTGTTCTGACAGTTACCTTGGCTAGTTGCCATGCCTAAGAAAAGCTGCTTTTCCTTAGGTCTGATTTATTTCGTTTGGTGGCACCTCGGAGCAATGACTTTCATTAGGAGCGACACTCCCTACAGCAGGGCTTTAGAAATTTGGCTGTCACTGTGGCATTAATGAAGCCAGGGTTGCTGGGTGGCTTACAAGGCCCTGGAGAGAGCAATCAACACTTGTCCTTCATTCTAGAGGACACGTAGGTAGGTGAGGAGCCTGTTTAATCATTACCGGGGCCTAGATTCTAACTCCCTTTTACTTGTGAACATGTATTCTCTGCCCTGTTTTGATACAGGGATGGGCAAAAGTTGGTTTACAGTTACTAATAATTAATAGAAGGATAAACTGTTTTGTGCACTCACAACTGTAAACCTACTTTTTGCCTGCCCTGTGTGCACTGAATTTTCCAGGGTAAGTTGAGAAACTGTTGAGTAAAAAAAAAAAAGCTGTTCAAAAACAAACTCATGGCCCTAGCTGGTTTGGCTCAGTGGATAGAGCATCGACCTGTGGACTGAAGGGTCCCGGGTTTGATTCTGGTCAAGGGCACATGCCCAGATTGCGGGCTCAATCCCCAGTAAGGGGCATGCAGGAGGCAGCCGATCAATGATTCATCATTGATGTTTCTCTCCTCCCTTCTCTGAAATCAATAAAAATATATTAAAAAAACAAGCAAAAAATCAAACTCATGGATACAGAATAAACTGATGTTTGTGGGACAAAAAGACGAAGGGATTAAGAAGTATAGATCCAAGGTGGAGAGTAGTTACAAAATACTAGTAGTCACAAGGATGTAAAGTACAAAATAGGGAATATCATCAATAATATTGTAATAACCATGTATGTTGTAATAACCATGTATGGTGTCAACTGGGTACTAGGCTTATGGCGGGGCTCCCTTCGTAAATTATAGAAATGTCTAACCACTATACATACACCTATGTTATACTATGCTATATAATATTGAATGTCAACTGTAATTGAAAAATTAAGATTAAAAAAGAGGCTGTTCACCATTTTAGAAATTCACATTCCTGTTGGCAACACCATTATAATACTGAAGTCACCATCACAATAATCCATGTTATTAGAATGTTACCTTCACAGTGATCCTAGGGATGGGTGCAAGTCTCTTTTTCATTGTGTGTTTTGGTGTGGTTAGGTGCAAGCATTTACATGATTTGGTTATAAAGTATTCTTAGTTTTCTATGATTCCATTTGAGACAGAAGAGGGGGTTAAAAATGTGTTATAAAAAAGGGGCCTTGGACTTAACAGGGTTGAGAACAAGACCATGTTACTGTGAGACAAACAGTACATTCTATGTGAGGTCTCGAAGAATTAGCCTCATGATTTCCTTTTCCCCACTAGGCTGCTGTATCAGGAGACTGTAATCCATGCTACTTCGTAAACACACTGCATAAGCTGGAGGAATGAGAAAGTGAGTACATTGTCTAAATTCCACAGCTATAGTCCTAAGCCATCCTAGCTTCTGAGAACAGTTTTTAGTTTGTTTTAAAAATAGCCCTATAGGGAAATAAGGCAGATTACAGTGACTTACATGAAGACTGGTACATGCCAGGCACTGTGCCAGGTGCTGGTAGACCAAGATGAAATAAGGCACAGCCCTCGTGGAGCTTATGTCCAGGAGGAAAGACAGACTCTAAGGGATTCACTGCAGTGTGAAATATTCATGAGTAAGTGATCACACAGCGCAGGGGATCACGGGACGTGTGGATGGAGACTCAGCCACACGGGTCAGCCTGAGTCTTCCTCCCCGCTCTTTTTGTGAGCCATAGCCCAAGGTCTCAAACCCTGGCCTGCAATGCAGAATGAGGGTGTGCTTTGCGTCCGGCGCAAGGTGAGATGGGTCGTCCGCCTACCTGATGTAGCCCACCTGGGGCCTGTGCTGCAGGAACCAGCGGTAGGACACCTTGTCCTTCCAGCCCACGTTCCTGGAGTCCTTCCACAGCAGCCTGACCTGGTCGCTGGTGTCCCCAGTGTGCCACAGGGAATTTCGGAGATGCTCCCCTGGACCTGTCTGAGACTTAACAGCCTGGACAATGACAGGAGCAGGGTTTTAGAACAGAACACACAGGCCACTCTCCCTGGATCTGTGGGGTGGTGATGAGGCAATCTGGCTGCCTTGGATTTGGACAAAAGCATAAATTCTGAAGATGCCATTTCTACTGAGGTGATCCTAGCCCTTTGATAACCAGCACTGGCTAATATTCCACTAACCCATCCCATATTTTTCCTGCTATATATCCATTGCTCCCCACATTTGCTCCAAGAAGGTTCTGAAATACGCCTTTTCTCCAGCAGGAGGGAGAGGCAGCTCTCAGCCCTCCTGTATAAAGTTGGCCCCATCGAGGAAACAGTTTCCAACAGTGTGCCTGAGATGTACCCCCAAATCTTCTCCACCTCTTGGATCCTACTAGGACTGATGGTCTCACCACTAGAGCCACCCAGAAGGTAGCTTGTACATAGGAATGAAGGCAAGGACCTGGGTGGACTCTACTGTTCTCTGACTTGAACACTAGCCAGAATGCAACCATTGCCACATGGGAGACGACGGAATTTAAAAGGAGGGCGAGGGCACAGAATTGACATGAGTGACTTCACCCGTACCTTAAGCTGAATGCCAGGTTCTGCGACAGCCCGGAACGGGGTGGCCTGCCAGTACGTCTGCTCCGTCTGCTTCCACATGACCACGTAGAAGCTGGAGCTGTCCTGGTAACCAAAGATGAAGCCCGCATAGTCATCATCCGTCTGGGTATTGACGTGGAAGGTCCCTTCAAAGTCCACTCCATTAAAAGCCGTGTATCCTGTAGAGATCAGAATATAATTAGAAAAGCAGACAAGGCCACACGGGTAGCTGGGAAGAATGAATTCTACACAAGTGGTACTGAAGGCCCTGGACATACCGACTGCCAGCCCAGGGTCGCTGTTCATGGTCTGCACAATCTCCATGCCCTGTGGAGAGAGTTGAAGGAGTGAGGAGCATTCTTCAAAGGGGCAGAGTGAGCCCCGAACCTCAGGCATCGTGGGTGAGCGCTCAGCGACGTCTGACCTCCATGTAAAGACTGCATTATCCGAGGGGTTGTTCTTCCTTGTTGGGGCTCAAAGCCGAATAGAAATAATTTTGCTAAAACTGTCACTTAAGCTGACTCAATAAAGCCTTAATTGGAGAACATACACTTCTTTTTTTTTTTTTTTTTTTTTTTTTTTTTTTTTTTTTTTTTAATATATTTTATTGAGTTTTTACAGAGAGGAAAGGAGAGAGATAGAGAGTTAGAAACATCGATGAGAGAGAATCATCGACCAGCTGCCTCCTGCACACTCCCCACTGGGGATGTGCCCGCAACCAAGGTACATGCCCTTGACCGGAATCGAACCTGGGACCCTTCAGTCCACAGGCCGACGCTCTATCCGCTGAGCCAAACCGGTTTTGGCAGAGAACATACACTTCTAATGAATGTCTTGCTGGGTGGTGTTGGAAATTCTAAGCCTCCATGTGCCTTCCTTCTTAGTTACACGGGGAGGCAGTCTCCTGGAGAAATCAGGAGCTTGGCTGTGGGGTCAGACTGCCTGGGTCCCCATTCAGCAATCTCAGCCTCTTAGCTGCAGTGCTATCACGAGCGATCATTAAGCTTTACAAGCCTTGATCTCATCATCTGTACAATGGGGCCAGTGAAAGCGCTTTGTCATAGGGCTACTGTAGGAGTAACTGTGACGTGGAATGTGTCTGACTCACAGTCAGCACTCTCTGAACATTACTTACCACTCTCAGGGGGCCTGTGTCTGTGTTCAGGCAAAGCTGAGACATTGGCAACCATGTGACCCACCTGGTTCAGGACCACCCAGTTGGGATCAATCTGGGCGTCCCCTTCAGGGTCCAGGACCACGGTCTGGTAGGCCCTGAAGTCGGTCAGGGTGACCTCAGCATTCTCCGGGCAGACGTCAATCCGATCGATGACCTTGTCCTGGTCAAAGTCTGTCTCACAGAGGTCTCCCACGCCGTCACCTGAGTGGGTTGGAAGAGGGGGGGAACTTGTAAGGCCTGCACCCACCATCACTCCTGAAGAGAAGGGGGGCTGGATACGGAACAGAAGCGAGCCCAAGGTCACCCCAGGGCAGGGCTTCCAACCAGTGGGGAAAGGAGGCCTTGACATGAGTCACATCTGAGCCTGCCCCGGCCCACCCTTCAGTCCTGGTGAACCCTCTGTATGTGACCAAAAGAAGTACCTGGGGACTCAGTGAAGGGGAATTGTTCAAAATGGGCCTCACAAGAAACCCTGGGTGTCCTCTGAAACAGTGGGGTTAACCACCTGGTGGGTTTTAAGCCTGACTCTACATAAGCAAATGCCTATAGAACAGTGATGGCGAACCTTTTGAGCTCGGCGTGTCAGCATTTTGAAAAACCCTAACTTAACTCTGGTGCCATGTCACATACAGAAATTTTTTGATATTTGCAACCATAGTAAAACAAAGACTTATATTTTTGATATTTATATGCCATTTAACAAAGAAAAATCAACCAAAAAAATGAGTTCACGTGTCACCTGACACGCGTGTCATAGGTTCCGCCATCACTGCTATAGAACTTACTACACAACTCTCTACACTATAACGTATAAAAAGCATGGAAATTGTCACCAACATGTATCTCTAAGACCATAGTGGTTCTGAGGCTGAATCTGGCCCAAAGTATGTTTTGTTCAGATGATGGTACTAAAATATTGGAATCTGCATGGCTGTGGATGGGTGGGCCCTCATGGCTCACCACAGTCCTCACTGCTGTCTCATTTCTGGCTTGGTGCACACCTTTCCTTATTGGCTTGGTCCTTGCAGACATCTGAGTTTGTGACCCCACCTAAGCCATTGGCTGCTGTGCCTTCTCTCTCTCCTCCTTTTCTGTGACTCCTGGTGAGGGGAGTGAGATGGCAGAGCAGCTTTCCAGGCTCCTTGAGCGGGAGCATGTGGCTGCTCCCTGCCCACGTGCTCTCCTCCTAGGGCTCCTCAGAATTGCATAGCAGCTTTTTTCTGACAGTTGGAGAATGGTATCTACCAGACATCTACTGTCCACACAAGCTGTGGCTACTCAGAGAAGCTGGTGTCCTGGGAGAGGTGTGCCACCTTGTGCCTTGCCAAAGGGAGCCCAGAGTCCCATGCAGTCCTGGGCTGAGCCCACTTACTGTTGCTGTCCTCCTGGGCCGGGTTGGGAACCAGCCGGCAGTTGTCCGGTCCAGGGGGCACCAGGTCTGGAATGCCGTCATTGTCATCATCATCATCACACTCGTCACCGATTCCATCCTTATCAGTGTCCAGCTGGGAACTGTTAATGACGGTGGGGCAGTTGTCTGTGCTGTCCTGGTGCCCGTCTCCGTCACTGTGGGAGAAAAGAAAGGCAGTTGGAGTCACAGGGCAATAAGGGTCCAGCTCTCAGGAGGGAGAGTCTGGGTTGGGGGTTTTAGCCAGGCCTGGTCTTTGATCAGACACATGTGTCCTTAGATAAGGCTGCCTGTAGGCCTCAGAGACCATTTCCCACCTCCTCCACTGATGAAATAATAGGTCACTTCCTAGGCAAGAAATAAGGGTCAAGTTTGTGATCTTGTGCTGAGATGCTCCTATCAGTTCCTGGAGGCTACTAGCTGACCCAGGACTGAGAGAATGTGCCAAGGGAACAGAGTGAGAGGTGGTGGAGCCAGACTGCTCAGCTCTTTAGCAGCATGTGGGACCCAGGCAGGGTACTGGACCCCTCTATGGCTCAGTGCCCCATCTGTAAAATGGGAATAACAGAGCCCCCTTCATAAGGCTGTTATGAAGATTAAATGATTAAGATTTTCCATATTCAATTTTAATATAGGAAAAAAACTCTTCTAAGTACTTGGTCTTAGGGAGCCCTACAATGTTTTCTTTTCTATTACTCTCCACAGTCCCTGGCCAGTAGACCCAAGAAGGATCAGATGTGGCAAAGGAAATAGGGAGCCCCTTCCTGAGAGGGGAGCATGGGGCTCGGCTCAGTCCTGGTCTACAGCACTTCTCAGAGTCCTCTCTCTCTGCCCACCTGGTCTCCCTTCCAGGCCTAGTGCCCTGTCCCCAGAGCTTTCCCTGCTTGACAGAGACACCCCATGACGATCTTGGATCAGAGCACATAACTCCTTTCACCTGGCTCCACCCAGGACCTGCCTTGGGCTGGGAACTGTTCCTATCTCATCCAGGATGGGACAGGGGAGGGAAGCCAGGGACCAGTCTATGGCCTTCAGGCCAGGCTTCCCAGCTGAGACCCAAAGAAAGTGAGGCCAACCTGGGCAACCAGGAGATGACACAGCTCACACGGTGGAATTCCCATGCAGGTAGCAGGGCTGCTTTTAAAATCATAAGACAGACTATTTCCATTAGCAGCCATTCTATGTAGCCCTGAAAATTTTCATGCAAAAATGTTCCTAGCCTCCTCCCCAAGGTTCAGAATTGTGGGGATTAAAATGTAGCAGAATGAGTCATTTAGTTTATGCAAATATCTAGAGGCTGATGGGACAGGATATTCTAGACATTTTTTAGATGGCACTCAGAGTGCAGGATGACCTGCAACAGGGAACATTCTTGACATCATTTAGGGAAGTTATCAGGGTACCAGTTGCACCTTCCACCCAAAAGCGGACACTTCCTATGTCAGGCTGTCTCTGACTTGCCTCTCCTCATGCTGTGATAACAACAGCCACCTTTTCCGCAGGGCACCTGAGGACCAGCACTGTGTCGGGAGCTTTACCTACATTCTCATTTCACCACAACCTTCGAGAGACAATTATCTCTCCTTTGCAGATGGAGAAGTTGAGACTCAGAGACTGAGCAGTACGTTTAAGTTCAGGTAGCCAGTGTGTACTGTGCAGCAAGGACGTTGAGCACAGGGCGAAGATGGGGCTTTACAGGAACTGACCCTGAGCAATGTCCACCTGTAGGGCAACCTCTGGGGAGAGGTTGAGAAGGGAAGCTATGTTTCCTCCTGCTCTGCCTTTTGGAGTCCTCTCCCTGCCTAATCCCTGCCCTGCCGCCTGTGCCATGCTTCCCGTGGAGATTGGGAGGGTTTAGAGCCTGCTTCTGCAGGAGCCGCTAGGGCAGAGCTGCACATGTCTGCCTTTTTGGTGATGTCTCTGCAGCATCTGCTCCAGCCCTTGACCTAGAACTCTAACCATGTGGGGCCAACAGGGTTGACAAAATTCATCTACATTGAATAGTTCCACTCAAATATGAGAAGTGGAATGAAAAATTCCAAGGACGATGAAAACAACAACAAACAAACAAACACAGTGGTCTCGCAGCAAACAGACAGCTTTCTATTTTGGGATGTGGGTGAAGCTCTCCAGAGCCAAGAGAATATAATAGAAGAACTAATATCTATTGAGTGCTGTCTATGTAACAGAAACTATAATGTGCACTTTTCGCAAAGTAATCATCATAGTAGTCCTATGAGCTACATGCTATTGTCATCCCCATTTTACTAGTATAGATGAGAAAATTGGGGTGCAAGAGATTAGGTAACTTGCCTAAGTTTATAAGTGAAGGGTTGGGATTATATCTAGCTGTGTCACTCTGGAGCCCATCTCTGAAGTATGATACTAGACTGCCTCTCCTGTCATAAACTTTCCCTTGCTAGAGTGCCTAGTGGCACTCCTGATACCATCCCCCCCCCCCACCCCCCCGCCAAAATACAGAACTTTCAAGGAGGTGAGGTGTCAGGGTCAGGGCTACTGTCCCACTGGCAGCTCCATCGACCCAGAGAGATCCCAAAGCAGCAGAAAGCTCTGAAGGATGCAACTCTCCAGATGTTTCCTCTGGCCCTGTGCAGCTGGGAGAGGCACCATACCTGTCCTGATTGGTGTCACAGGAGTCCCCAACCAGATCGTTGTCCACATCAGACTGCAAAGAGAACAGAACATGTTATTTATCCCTGGGCCTGTGTGCACAGAATGTTCCAGAGAAGGCTGACCCTGCCCATCATCACTGGGTCTCAGGATTATTTCTCTGGAATCAGGACAGTGCAAAACTGCAAAAGGACAACACCATATTGGTGTAGGCACAATTTTCAAGAAAAGCTTCCAAAATATCAGGCTCCACGGATGGGCTGCCTACACACCAGATGAGCTGATCAGAAAGGGCACCGGGGCCGCCCGATGGCAGGTGGGGACGCGGAGCCCTGGCACGGGTCGGAAGGGAGCCACCATAGGCACGGGGACAAGGCACACCGGCTTGGCTTTGCTTGTGCAGTTTGGAATTGAGCCAGAGTGAAAGCGAGTCACAGAGGGCAACAATGACTCCCCTCGCTCAGGCTTTAAAATACATGACACATCACCCCCCAATTATCCAGACAGGAAGGAGGAGTGGGAAGGGAAACAGCACGTCACTGACTGAACATAATCTGAAATGTCCATACACAGTCGGTGCAAGGGTTTGGGGACTAAAGGGACACGAAGTTTCCCATGGATAATTTGCAAGTTATGGTTTGGGTGTCATTAAACTCATAATCCAACCTCATAGGCACCTACAGCCTGTGAGATTAGTCCAGAGGGGCTCAGATCTCCTGTAATGGTCTTCCTATCCCCTCCAGGCCCAAGTATGCAACTCGCCACCTCTGCTCTGGTAGGCATATGGCAACAGCAAAGAACTGAGCTGCTGGGCTCTGCTGGTTGTTCGAGACACTGGTCTTACAGGCATCTTTGCATAGAGGCGCTCAGCCAAGAGTTCAAGTTCCCCTATGTTCCACTGACCTGGTTAGGGTTGCTGACATCAGGACAACTGTCACAGGCATCCCCCACGCCATCGCCATCCCTGTCCTGTTGGTCACGATTGGGAACTTTCTGGCAGTTGTCCAGAATGTTTTTTATTCCTACGAGAAAGGAACGCTTCTCTGAGTCAGGTGAACAGCACAGACGGGTCTGGAACACACACTTCTGGGGGCTGCAGAGATCAGGCCCTCACAGGTATGTGGTGAGTGACTTCTGCCTGGGCCATCCTCAGAGAGCCACCACTTTCCCAGCAGCTATCTGGAGGTAAGGTCAAAGGATGGCGTGTGTGTGTGTGTGCGTGTGTGTAGGACAGTGGGGAGTGGGGAAAGGTATAATCTGGAAGACAGATACCCTACAACAGGGGTGGTCAACCTTTTTCTGCCAAGGGCCATTTGGATATTCATAACATCCCTCAGCCACACAAAATTATCAACTTAAAAATCAGTCTGCTAGCCCTAGCCAGTTTTGCTCAGTAGATACAGTATCAGCCCTGGGATGGAAGGGTTCTGGGTTTGATTCCAATCAAAGGCACATATTTTGGTTGCAGGCTCAATCCCCGGTCCCGGTGAGGGGCATGTGCAGGAGGCAACTAATTGATGTGTGTCTCTTACATCGATGTTTCTCTGTCTCTCCCGCTCCCTTTCACTCTCTCTCAAAATCAATAGAAAAATATCCTAGGGTGAGAATTAAGAACAACAAAAAAATTTAGCCTGCTATATTTGGTCAAACATTTAATTAACTCACCCCTAATGCCTCGGCAGGGTCAGCCTAAATTATTTAACAGGCCTTAAACAGCCTGTGGGCCGGAGGTTCCCTACCTCTGCCCTACAAAGACACAGCCCTGACAAGACACTGCTAGAAGTACTTCCTACAAGGTTTCCGGCAATGATACAGAGTTCCAGAAACACCCAGGTTCTTAAATAGTGGCGTGGGCTGTGGAGTCTCCTCCCACAGACACAAGTGGACTTTGGGTCCCCAGATGCAGGCTGCATGGAACCACCACTAGGAAGGCCCTCCTAGTCAGAAATTCTCTTCCTGCTCCTCAAAGACAACAGGGCAAAAGGACCATAGTCCCAAATACGATACAAAACGAGCCAAACCCACCATCTCCATCCATGTCATCATCGCAGGCGTCCCCTCTTCCATCCCCATCAGTGTCTTTCTGGTCATTATTTAGGACATCCCGGCAGTTGTCACAGGCATCCCCAAAGATATCTTGGTCGCTGTTTCTTTGGTCCACGTTGTGAGTCAGGACACAGTTATCCTACAGGATCAGAAGACCGAACACTCACTCCGACTGTTACTGCTTCCCTACCGTGTACTTGGTTCTGTGGTGGATGCTGGGGACTAAAGGGACATGAGGTTTCCCATGGTTAATTTCCATGTTATGGTTTGGGTATCATTAAACTCATAATCCAACCTCATAGGCACCCTACAGCCTGTGAGATTAGGCTAGAGGGGCTCAGATGGTCATGAGCTGTCAGAACTCAGGAGGCCCAACTTTGTCAGTTTTATATTTTAAACATTTGATGATCTTAGAATAAAAAGTTGCAGTGCTGTGGGAATGCAGCATGGAAACTAACATTTGGGATGATTAATAGAAATAGTTCACTTCAAGGGCTTTCTTCCATCATCCGTGGCATGTGGCAATTCACAGGCCCTCCCCACAAAGCACCTGCTCATTCAGGATCCCGTCGCCATCAGCATCCTCATCACAAGCATCACCAATGCCATCTCCGTCTGCATCTTCTTGGCCAGAGTTTGGCACGTACTTGCAGTTGTCCTAAGGGGGAAACACAGCTCAGAAAGACATCTACATATGTCTTTTTTAAAGCTTTATTGAGGATAATTGACAAAATTGAAGATATTTAAAGTGTACAGTGTGATGATTTGCATATGTACATATTGTGAAAGGATTCCCCCATTGAATTAATAGATCTGTCACCTCACATATTTCCCCCTTCTTTTGCTGAGAACATTTAAGTTCTACTCTCTCAGCAAATTTCAACTCTATAATAGTGTGATCAACTATAGTCACTATATTAAACCTTAGATCCTCTGACCTTATTTATCTTATAACTGAAGGTCTGTACCCTTTTACCAACGTCTCCCTGTTTCCCACACCACCTGTCTACATGTTTTAAACTAAATCTCAGGACAACTGTGGCTGCCTGACTTTATTACTGATCGCTGTTTTGTTACAGCTGAGAAGTAGCTCCTGTAACAATGCAAATTTCAATGGAACCGACAGAACCTCTCCCCTGTATCAGTCATGGCGAGCGAGCGAGCGAGCGAGTGAGAGAGAGAGAGAGAGAGATATTCCTATTTGCCCCGCGTACCTTCTTGCAGTTCCTTGCAGAGCATGGCAGTTCTTCGTCTGGGTAACTGTCAATGTCCACATCCTTCCCACAGAAGTAGCCATCGCCAGCCCATCCGACTCCGCACTGTGAAGGGAAAGCCTGTCAGAGGCCTGGGAAGCGGAGCCTGGCAGGAGGCTGGTGGCTGACAAGAGCCTCTGCTCCCGTGTGCACCTCCCCAGAGTGGGGCCCAGAGCCAGACAGCCTTGTTGGGAAGGATTTTAAAACGATTAAATTGTTTTTTCAATCGTCTAATGGTTCAAAATTCAATAGGTGCAAAGGGGCTACAGTGTAACTTCCCCTCCTGTTCCCTTAGCTCAGGCAAGCAAGGTAATCGGTTCCCAAACGCATGCTGAGAGACAGGCTACGCACAGACAAGCAAATGTACATCATTCCTTTCCTCTATCCCCTCACACAACTGGTAAAATATATATATGCCATTCTGCATCTTGATTTTTTAAAAGTTAACATTATATCTCGGAGCTCTTTCCATACCACTTCATGTAGAGTTGTCTTTTTTAAAAATGGCAACAGATACATCATACATAAGGTGGTATGCATGTGCCTCAATCAATTCAACCAGTGCTCTACTGGTGGGTGTTAGGTTTTAAACACTTTTTTAGATGGAAAATTATGCTGCAACAAGTAACTCTAGTATGCGTGTTCTACACTGGTTTCTTAGTGAGAAATTCCTGGTTCAAGGTGTCTGTAATTTTGAGTTACTGTCCAAAGTTCTCCATATGATTGTCCAATTTCCTTTCTCAGGGGAAACGTGGCGCTTTCCTTATCCTTCGTGAACCACAGTCCTCTCTCTGAATCTAAGTCTTCCAGATCAGTTTCCACCAGAGGAGGGACCTCCTGAGGTGCCTGGCCTCTGCTTATACCCTTTTACCGGGAGGTTTCCAGAGGCACAGTGCTGGGTCTGTGTGTCGTTCACTCCTTCCCTGGAAAAGTCTACCCAAGTATCCTGGCCTCCACCAGCCGCCGAGAGCAAGCCTCCCTGTCAGCAGAACGGGCACTGAAACGCCAGTCCTTCCATACCAGACCCCACAGTCACTGTCTCCAATTGTTATGAAGTTGCTGCAAGGTCTGTTATCCCATTCACACAAGCAGCAACCAGGCTCAGAGTGGTTCGGTCCCTTGCTCAGGGCCTCAGAGCTGGGACTTGAACCCAAGCCCAGGGTCTTCTGCCCTGTATATTTGGTTAACGGGCACTTTGAGTTCTTCCTCTGATAGTCCATAGCCAAACCAAGGAGAGAAGAAATCATTCCGTAAGTGGTGTCCTGGGTATGAGATGGTACCTGGGAGCTCAGCCCAGGAGCAGGCTGGGCGCCCATGGGAGGGGCAGACAGAAGAACATGGGAGAAGGGGCCTGGAAAACCACCGGGAGCTAGAGGGGCAGGGAGAGGAAAAAGAGTCTGAGGAACAGCGTCAGGGCCAAGGGAAAAGAAACTTCACATGAGTAAATGCTACATTTCCTGGCCTCGCTAATCAAAATAAGGTGATTTAAGACCAGTGACTGCCTAAGCGGCAGCCGGCCTGTTCTCAATCATCTGCACTCTCCTTCTGCGACCAGAGATTTAAGGCAGGTTTCCAAAAACCCCCTCCCGCAGCTCCCCTATGTCTGCTCAGCTGCTTCCACGGGGCCTTCAGAAGGCCTGAAAAGCTCAGTTATGGGGTATGGTCCTTGACTCATTTTAATGAAGAAGAAATTTCCTCTAGGAACAAATATATTTTTAATGAGCTATTTTCTGGCAGATTAAATTATTTTAGTAGTCACACCAAGTGTATTAATCTTTTACCATCTGTCATTGTGCCTTATTACAAATTCAAAAACATATTAAGAGCCCGATCACCCACCATCCCAGGGAAATTGTTAATTTGCTCACAGAAAACGAGGATTTAAATATAGATATACACTTCCCTCTCGATGATGATAATCGTGCCCAATCAGTAGGAATTGGGGAAACTGGTTTTCCCCCTGACCCGGCTTGTTCCTTCATCAGCACTTTGTATTGCCAGAGAGAGCTGATGGCATCATATTTATTTCTTCAACTTAGTTTTGAATCTTCTCATTTCTCCTATTTGAAAAGTGGTAGAAAATTTTGGGGGCTCAAGGAAGTCAAGTTTGAGGTATAGCGAAGAGGGAAGAAGTCTCCGAGATCCATCCTGCCCCTCGGACGTGCTCACTGTGAACCTGTGAATGTCAGACTCAGGGTCGCCTGCCAGGGCCTGGCTCACTGCAAAGGGAGGAGGAGGTGAGTGGCTGAACATGGCTGATGTCTCAGTGCCTAGAATCCCCAAGACTCTGGAGCCTGAGGTTTGGGAGTGGATGACAGGAACAAGCCTTCCTCGCCAAGGGCCCAGGACACCAGCGTGGCACGAGACTCACGTCAGGCTGAGACTGCCCTGCCCTCCTCAGCCACCTTCTCCCTGGATCGGCTCCAGGGTTGGGAAACACAGGAAGGCGAGTGACCTCCACTGGGCTATTCCTGCACCTGGTGAAGGTAGACACAGAGAATGGCTCTGTCCCCACCTTCCCCCTCCCCCGGGGGAGACAGGTGGTTTCCCTCTGAGGGTTTATAGCAGCCTATCACCTCGCCCCTGCCACCCACCTCCTGGGGCCAGATTTTGAAAGGGGATGTCTTAAGGGTGAGGACAGTTAGAAATGACAGCAGGAGGCTAATAAGTTATACACATAAATCACCAGGGCAGTAGATGGAAGGGAGGGAAGGAGGCTCCTTGGCCTCCTGCTGCTCATTTCTCAGGCCTTCCACAGAGGGTGCTTGGGAGCAGGGGGCTCCACCAATGAGCTGCCCAAGGGGACAGTGTCAACCCACAGCCAACAGGGAGAGAAGAGGCAGCTGCTGGTTAGAGGAGCTTCCCATTGCTCCCCACAAACTCAGCTGACCCTCCTACTATTACATTCTATGTTGATCTTGATGGAAATGTTTCCATGTTTGAGTACTTCTGCCCTGAAGCAAGTAGAAACTGGGGTGATGTTTAAAACAGAGGAAGGTAAAACGGTAAAGCAAGTGACAAACAACTTACCACGCACGTCACATCCCCCTGCCTCTCCTCGATGCACTGCGCGTTCACACTGCAAGGGTTCAGTTCTGGGTTTCTGCAGTTTCGCTCAGGTTTGCATCCCCTCGTCTGGTCACCAGTGTACCCGGGTTTACAAGGCCCACAGCGATAAGATCCCTGAAAGGAGCAAAGATAAGATGATGAACCAGGAGTCAGAACTGTGAGCAAAGAAAGGTACTGCGATTGTGTTTACTTTCACGTGTACTCAATGGTGCCTGGATTAAGGGAGATCCATGCTGTCTCTCTGCTTACATGTATGTCTTATAAGATGGCGGGAATATTGGGGAAGACGTCACCAGATTGGAAGCTGCAGCAGGCCCTGTCGGCCTGAAGGAATAGAACAGGAGTCAGAGGGCTAAATGGTGAACCACCACTCTGACTGAGGGGGAAGGGAGAAGGGCTGAACGTTCCATCATGTTCTGGGAGGTGAAGTTAGAGTTTGCTCTGGGACAAGGGAGATGGTTTGATTAAAATACAAAAACGATAATATTTGTCATTAATATTTATGTAAAAGCCCAACACTGTGCCCTGACCGGTTTGGTTCAGTGGATAGAGCATTGGCCTGTGGACTGGGGGGTCCCAGGTTCGATTCCGGTCAAGGGCATGTACCTTGGTTGCGGGCACATCCCCAGGAGGCAGCTGATAGGTGTTTCTCTCTCATCGATGATTCTAACTCTCTATCCCTCTCCCTTCCTCTCTGTAAAAAAATAAATAAAATATATTAAAAAAAAAAAAAAAAAGCCCAACACTGCAACTTTGGCAGAAGAGTAAAAAAACAAGTTTGGCAGTCATAAAATTATACTTATGAAATTACTTTACATATTGAAAACTGTTTTTCAGCACAAACTCATTTGCCAATCAAATAAGTTATGCCCATATGTTCTATGTGTGTTTTGGGGTTATGATTCATAAACATACACTTGGTTTAATAACTGGTCTGCTTTGATCACATCAGCCATGAAAAATACTTACCAAAGTGTTAGTGCATATAGAGTTGAGAACACACGCTCCATTTCGACACTCATCAATATCAGTGCAGACCTAGTGCAGAAGGATTTAAAGAGACGTTCCTTTTAGTAGAAATGTAAATAAATTTTGCTGTGTTTTGATACTTGTCTGAAGTGAAGACAGGAAATTTCAGGCAGAATGGAAATCGGGGTGCCATTTTAGCCATCTCCCTGTGTTTGTGTCAGTCTGTACTTAACCTAATTTCAAGTGATAGTTGCCTACTTGGTATTTAAAGTGGTTCAGAAAAGACAACTTGTTTGATTAATCTGTTCCACAACCCTTTTAGTCAGGAAGTTTTTCCTTTCTCCTGCTTGGGACTCAATGTACTTCTACCTCAGAATTTTTGGAAAATTCTCAGCTTCCCTCTGCTCCTATTCCTTCTACTCTTTCTTTTCTTCTTCCTTTTTTTTTTTTTTTTTTTAAATCTTACCCGAGGGTATTTTTTTCCATTGATCATTTAGAGTAGGGGTGGGGAACCTTTTTTCTGCCAAGGGCCATTTTTCACATTTACTAGTATAACATCTTTCATTCATGGGCCATAGAAAATTATCAACTTAAAAATTAGCCTGCTATATTTGGTCAAACATTTAATTAACTCACCCCTAATGCCTTGGCAGGGCCAGACCAAATGAATTCTATGGCCTTATACAGCCCATAGGCCGGATGTTCCCCACCCATTGTAGAGAGAGTGGAAGGCAGGGAGGAGGGGGAGTGGGAGAGAGACATCTACGTGAGAGAGACACATCAACTGGTGGCCTCCCTCATACTCTCCAGCTCAGCCTGTAACCCAGGTACATGCCCTTGACTGGAACTCGAACCCAAGACCCTTCAGTCCATGGGCTGACACTCTAATCACTGAGCCAAACCAGCCAGGGCCTTCTACTCTTTCATTAGAACTACAATTAAATAAATATTGGACTTTCTCATTAATCTCTTCTGTTGACTCAACCTCTCGTTCATATTTTCCACATCTTTATTTCTCTGTGCAGCATTCTGGCTGATTTCCTGAGTTCTACCTTTGAAATCTATACACTCCCTATTAGTTGTCTTGCTCGTCTATTAAGTTTTTATGCCAATGGTTATCTTTTTCACTGAATAAATTTTATTTGGCTATTTCTCAAATGTGCGTACTGCCCCCCCCCCCCCCCCCCCCCGCAATGCTCTATTATTTAAGTATGGTGTCTACTGCTTCCTTTCTTCTTTATCCTTTTGAACTTATATTGATCACATTTTCCATGGTAGCATCTTCATATAAATTACCATTGTTGTTTATGAGCATTTGGTATTAGCCAGGGCTCTGGGGATCTTACTGCTGCAGAGCTGGTTTTCGTGTTAATGTTTGGCTTGTATATCTGTGTTATATGTGTAACACAGGTGTGGAGCTCACAACTGTATGTGATACAAGCTTGGAGCTTTGATTTGTTGTGGACAGTTTTCATTTGTGTTAACCTTGCCCCCAAACTGCCATCGGCTTCCTTGTTGATTTGGGGGGCTTGGAAAGTTTTCACATCTCCTTGTAACGGGGAACATAGTTCTCTGAGGCTCCTGGCTTTGTTCAGGGTTGTTAGATCTTCCTATGGTTCAAGACTACATCTGCTGTACTCTTGTAGGTGCTAAAACCCCGGACCCCCACCCCTGGGACCTCTACCCAGTGCTACCTCCCATGAGCTGCTGTGACATTAGCTTCCACCCATAGCTCTGGTTTTGAGTTCCCTCTTCGTTTCTAGAACCTGGGAACATTTCTTATTACTTCTTTTGATATTGGTGATGCATTAAAATTTCCTGTTAAATTTTATCAAGGTGACTCCCTTCTACTTCAGTTCAAACTACCACATTGCTGGAAATCTACTGGGAAGTGCTCCTGAATAGCTTACATAAAGCACCTTCTATTTCTTTTCGTCTATTTTCCTTGGTTTAGTTCTGGAGATTTTGTTTTTGGAGGAGAGGAAGGAAAACTCCGGGTCATTACTCTAATGGCTTGTTGTCATTCCTATCTGTCTGGCTTGCCTCCTTTTTCTACTCTAAAAAAATGATGCCCTCTGGAATCCCTTGATAGGCAGCTAGGAGATAATGAACCTGCCCTTCTTTAAAGCTAATAACTTCCCTAAGGTAGTAAAATATATTTATAGACCAACCATTTTTAAGGGCTGAAAACATCAAAAAGAATTTCACAGTCAGCCAGTTAAATAATGACCAGGATATAGAGCATTTGGAAACAAATGGAGACTGTCACAAAGTATTCAAATGCTTAGGGCAATTTACAGCTTATATAAGAAGCAGCAGGGGTGGGGGGCGGGTGGGGAGGTGGGAGTGGGGGTGGGTTTTCTCAGGGAATTATTTCTACTCTTGAAATCCTCTCATCTCTAAAACAGCTTCTGATCATGGCCATCTTCAGAGCTACCTCATTCACTGTTTCTCTAGTGATGCTCTGTCATCCCAATTTAAGAGTTCCCTCCCTACTAAACTTTATAAACATACTCAGAAATGAGTTAGTAAATGCCTGATTTGCTCACTGGCCCTGGGAGATTCGACATGGCATCGCCTGCTCAAGGAGGTAAAGGCTTATACAGAAGGAGGTGGGAACCAACCAGGGTTTCTCAGTTGGCAATCAGGGTAGAAATGAACGTCAGCCCACCTGTTTATTTGACTTAGCAAAGCTGATCCCCACACCCTGCACCATGGACCCTGTGAAGCCCACCGGGCAGGCGTCACATCTGAAGCCGGGAGCTAAGTTCACGCAGCGCACACCCGGGTAGCAGGGATGGTATTTGCACTGGAGAGAAAAAAAATTCAAAGTCATTAGTCCCATGGAGAAAACACTCTCACACTTCCATTTATCTAGCTGCACAACTTGTTTATTCATTTAACTCAGTTTTTGGTGATCAGAATGGTAAAAGGAAATAAAGGTTTCCAATGTCATAGTTACCCTAGGAATCCCTGACCCACACAATCTGGAGTTGGTTTGCTGGGTTACAGAATAATGCACAGCCAACTGGAAAGGGTCTTAATGTTAATCCCTCCACTTCCCAGGGTCAAGTCCCTGATATTCTACCTTGGAATTTACAGATCAATGAAAGGACAGCTCTCTCAGATCACTTGATGGCTGGCTGTTAGGTGAGTCCAAAGGCGTTATTGAACCAACACAACTACTCAAAAGAAAAGACCTTGAAAACACAAAGCTAGGGTAATTGTTTCCTCAATTGGATGTGATCCATCAGAGTCTGGGCCTGTCTCTGTGCCCTAGCAAGCCCATGGCAGTTCCGAGGCCCTTGGAGTCTAGGAGATTTTTTTCTTTTTTAACCAGTTCAACTAATGTAAAAAACATGACCACTTCTGGCCCTTTCAAAAGGAGAAATTTCCAGCTCACGGATAAAAACCAGATGCAGTTCTGTGAACTGTGTACAGATGTGTCTGCAATTGAGGGATTACTAGAGGCCATCTTAATTGCTTACTACCTGGGGCGGTAATCAGTGGAGCTACCACAAACCTACAAGGGGGTGGTGTGTGTGTGTGTGTCTAAGGTCCTTGCATGTTCCTCACCCCCTCCACGTCTCCTTCTGACCTTCCTCTGGCTGGCTGGGAGGAGAAAGCACATTCTGATGGCAGCCTTGCTACCCACTATGAACACTACTTGGGGACTAGACTACTGACTGGTTAGTCATGATCTTGAAACAGTCTGCATCGGCAGATCTGGCAGCCATGCAACCAGCCTATATTTATTGTGTGGGTCTTTCTGGCTCCATCCCTGGCACTTTTAGTTACTCACAGGTTATGGGGCCTCAACAGGTCTCGTTGGTTTGAGACTCCCCTCTGCTTTTCTATTTTAGGAAGCTTGAAGAAATCAGTTGCAACCTCTGGAATATACCCTTACACAGATCTCCGCAAAAGTGCAGAAAAAAAATCACAAGTATAACACAGACTGTTTAAGAAAAACAATCAATGTTAGAGTATAAAGCTGAAATCTCAGTATTGTAGCAACATGGACAACGAGAAGAATTGGAGACACAGAGAGATGTATTACGAACACGGCCACAACCATGTGTCATGCCTCCTTCCTCCCACTGCTCACAGTGGCTCATGGTCTCGAAGGACTCATCAGGAAGTAGTTTTTAAGTGGCCTGGAGGACAACCCAAGTCATCCCTTAGTCATCAGCCTGGCTTCTTTTTCCATTAGCTGTATGGTGTGCAAGGTATTTAGGGAGCCTCTACCCTGTGCAGTCGAACTCTTACCTCATCAATGTCAGAGCAGGTGATCCCATTTCCTGTGTAGCCCTCGGGGCAGGGCCCACACTGAAAGCCGTCTCTGGTGTTGGTACATCGGACTCCGCGGAAACACGAGTTGGAGTCACACAGGCGCACTGGGGGTGCTGGGGGCGCAGGGGGTGCCTGGGGCACCAGTGTGTTTGGGGTTGGAGACTGCAAGCTAAGAGGACCTAGAAGAAAAACAATAGGCTTATTCACCACCAGGGAACATAACTGACACAAAATAAAATTTGGTTTTTCAATGAAGTTCTCTTCCCTCCACCTCTGTGCCAAACCTCCAGAAGCTGCAGCCAATGTTGCCTCACCCCAGGTTGGGCCCTTCATCAGTCTGCATCTGCTCGTCCAGCTCAGAATGAGCCAGTTACTAGAAAAGCACTTACCGCAAGCCTGGCATTCAGCTATGGTGTTTCGCAAAAACGATGTTTCCTTGACCTTTAGAAATGGGAAGAGGGGAAAAAAAAAAGATTGAAAAAGAGCACCTGATACATAATCCAGGAATGAAAGAATCCACGTGTAGCAAGCTGTTAAATACTTCTTAAAGTAGTTCTAAAGTAACCCTTGATGGCTCCCCCTCTGCCTGGAGCCCTGGTGTGTTTAGCACATGGTTGCCCCCCATTTCCAAAGCCTTGGTGTCAGAGTCCCAGGGTGGTGGGCTGCACGAGCTTGGCTGCTGGTCTGCCCGCTGCTGTGCTGTAAGCCTGCTGCTCCAGGAGCTCACACACAGAGCTTCTCGGGCTTTTCTGATGGTATGTCCTGGTTGTTACCTGCTGTCTCAGAAGATCCTTCACCTCTCCCAAGAGCTGGTTTAGTTGTGTCATTTGCCCCAAGAACTGTCGATTAAAGTCTCCTATAGCAACAACGAAAGGTAAAGAGCATTCAGCCAGTGACAGCCATTTCTACAGTCACTCAAAAGCAAATGATTTCCCAGAGAATAATCATGACAAAATTCTAGGGTGTAGGAATTTAACTTGGTGTAATTCATCTCAAAAATAATGGTCATGATGCCACTGGAGACTTCAAAATCCATGTGAGTTATAAAAATATAAAAAAAGAGCAATGAAAATATTCTGTGCCCTGGCTTTTGGCCGAAGAGCCTGATTTCTGGAGATACCTCCCGTAGGACCGCTTTGTGGACAGCCCACCCTTTGGTGACGGGACCCAGCCCATTCGGGGGCTTGGGGGTTTGTCTGTGTTGAAGAAGGTATGCAAAGTGCCCAAGAGACCACACCTGTGCTTGCGGTGGCCAGTGGCTCGCTCTGCTGCAGGAAGCAATCTTGCAGGCTGGCCACCTGGAACAGCGAGCCTCTCACCACCAGCTTCAGCTCTTCCAAGAAATCCTGGAGAAAAATCAGATTCATACCACACAGTGCTAGTGCATTCAAAGCCAACGTGTCTGCATATTCACACAACTTTCCTAACAGACTAGCCCTGTATACTTGGACCCTGACATCTTATGTAATGTTGTGGGTTTGCATTTTTCCTAAATCCTGCCAGCCCTATCCTTTTCACTGAAGCAACTCGGAACTTCAGCCAGGAGCTGAGGAAAACGCTGACATTCAACTTGGCCTCAGAGTTCATGAAAGTGGCTCTGAGAAGAAGACAGGCTTTTTCCTTCATGGTAAACAGTTATTTTGAGGAGCCACTTAAGAATTATCTGGAATTTGTTTCTGAAGTTTAGACTGTAATAAATATCTTACTTATTCATTCTGATTTTAAAGAGTATTATTTTCAGAATGTACTGGCTTCAGGTTTTAGCAAAGTCTCGGATTTTGTTGGCTTATGAGAATGAATAAACAGTATATTCTATGATTATTAGGTAGTTGGCATCATATTTTCACTTTACTGGTTCATGTCAATCATTCATTGTTAGTCACAAAGCCAGTTTCCTCACTCCTTTATTTTGTAACTTACTCATATCCATTATATCTATATATGACAGAGAAATGTTATATTATCTGCAAATGTAAAGTTATCATTTTTATTTAAAAAATGAGTATGCTAAGGATTTGCAGGGGAATTCTACTATTTAAAGCTAAGTTAAGATGTATTCAACATGTGCTACGCAACAGATAGTATGTTGGACATTGGACTGTAAGGTCTATGGAGGCAGGACTATGACTGTTTTGCCCACCACAGTGGCCTGGAATGTGCCTATTTGTTGACTGACTGAGTGAATGAGTAGGTGACTAAAGATAGAGCACTGTGGTCCCTGCTGATAGTCTAAGAAGCTAGGACTTCTGAGAAATTTCCAATAAGCATAGTTTTTGATGACCCTTGTCACGGCTGACTCCTGGCTTTTAGAAATTTGACTTATTTGGTGCTAGACACTAATTTCTGAAATGGTCAGTGACATAATTTCATTTTGATTTTGGTTACTTAGGGAGTTCAGAAATAAAGTTTAGTATTCATTTTTTTCTCTTATATAAATCTACACTAAATACATATGCATAGAGCTATATCTATCTCTACAAAAATAAAAAATGTGGATTTTAATTTTCTTGGAATTTCTGCTTAAAAATGCTTCCTATTTTTTAAGCACAAAAGTCTAGTATCAGAGTTATAGTTTTTAAAAAATATTATCTAAAATGTTTCAGTATTCTTAGCTGTAATGGAAATTATTGCTTACACCCTGCCTCTTTGTTCAAAGGGCTCAGTGCAGCTTGTAACTAAAGCACATGTAACAAAATAGAAATGGAAAATGAGACTTGATAGTGAGAGGACAACATTATGGGCCACAACAGATGAACATAGTTACTGATTTTGGCACTGACTTTCATATCAGATAAAATTCAGGAACTATGACCAGTTAGAGTTATAATTAATGGAAAGGACAAAGAATAGTAGTTCTTTATAGGAAATGAAGTATTTCCTAGCACGCAATTCTAAAATAAATACATGTGGCAATTTCTGTAGTAGGTGCAGTGTTATAATGAAAGAATTACCATCATCATGGCATAAAAAAGAAGACAGAAGAGATGGAATTTTTAAGGGCACATGGAACTAAGTTGGCAATAAGATCCTGTTTGTTAGGGATGTTCTGATAAGATCTTGTGAAAAATGTTCTTATTGCTTGGCATTTTCCAATCATTCTTTTAAAATTTTGTTAAAAATAATAACTATAGAAAAATTAAAAATAGATAATCCTAAGATAGTCTTTAAATTTTTGTAATTTATTTCCAACTTGAAAACTGTATCCCAAAAATCTGTTTATCATTAAAAGCAGTTCTCAATTTTTTTAATTCTCACATCCTTACCCAAGGACATGCATTGATGTTAGAGTGAGAAGAAGGGGGAGGGAGAGAAACATCTTCACAGCCGAGGTATGTGCCCTAACCGGGACTTGAACTCACAGCCTTTCAGTGTGGGGAATCATGCCCAACCAACGGAACCACACTGGCCGGGGCAGAAGTTCTCAATTTTGACTTCACATTAAAAATCAGTATTTTAAAAAACACTGTTGCCTAGGCATCACCCCTATAGATTCTGATTCAGTTCATCTTCAGGATTGGCCCTCTATCTGTGGTTTATCAAAGTTGGCAGGCGATTCTACCATGCAGCCAGAATTAGACCTACTCATAACCTCCCTCTGCGTCCCCTGAGCCTCAACAGCTCATCTCTTCACTTCGAAGAACCATTTGTGGGTTCCTACCTGTGCCCTCCTCTGGAAAGTTCTCAATTCAATGGACGCAGGACTCTGTGTGAGGCCAGAAAAGGCTCTGGGGAGATTGTGAACAGAATCCACTTGGGTGCAGTCCACATAGAGCTCTATGGAGCCAGCCCCTCGCTGCAAATTGCTCAGTTTCAGTAGGACCCTGTGCCGCTTGCCGTCAGCCAGCTGCAGGTTGTTGAAAACCACCAAATGGATCTTCCCATCATTCTTCAGGTAACGAAGGATGGCTGGAACCAAGCACAGATCAGTAAACAATGAGATAAGAGGGACGGGTCGGTTCTGTGCTGAAGGTGCTCATGGAGAGACAAAGTAGCAAACTTGAAAATAAACAATATAATATCAGATAGTGATTAAGTACAATGAGCAAACAGAACCCATGAAAAATCCACTAAATCGAAGTCAGCTCTTTAGCGCGTGAGTTCATCACCAAACGTTTACTGAGTACTACCATGGTTCTGGGGGCTGCCCTTACTTGCTTTGAACACTTAATTTCTACTCATTGCAATCTTTGGAAATTAGTATCTACAGAAGAGGAAAGTGAAGCTCAGGTAAGTGAAGGAACATGCTCAAGGACACAGGAAGTGGCAGGACTAGAATTTGAAACTGAGGATGGTTATTTCATGACTAAAAGAATGCTAGGCATGGACAGTCCTTTGTAAGCATATACTGAAATGGGTGTAATCTGTCATACTGTCCCTCAGCAATCCATCCTCAATTTAATAATGCTCAGCCTGAACATCAAAGGTATCCATGGTTGCAAACAAAACAAAATAAAACAACAAAAACCAAGGAGTGGGATACACTACCTTATCTTTTGGTGGTTTTTTTCATTGTTTTTTTTTCTTTTTTTCTTTTTCCCCTATGCATGTAGCTATCCATTCACATATCTTGTTAAGCTCACTAAATAAATATTCATGCAAATTTTAAAATTCTGGTTTTCTCCCTTGCTTTTTACTCCATTATTGTGCTGAATATATTGAGCCCTGAACTAAAATCTGTTCTTGGATGCTGAGCCTTTGGGAGTGAAGCCCATTGGGTGAGGTTTGCTATAAAGAGCAAAATAATTTGCTTCCAAGGCCTTGGTGAATCCACCATGAACACCTCTGGGTCCATCCACAGATACCAGCGCCAAGCTCAAGTTCATCATCAGAAACAATCCTAGGAACAAGGTCAAATACTGAGTGTAAATGTCACTGGATAATTAATGTAGTAAAGACATAATTGCAGCTCCAAAGGTCAGAGTCAAAGTCTTCAACTGCCCAGGGTGTAATAGCCTTAAATTAGTATAACTTTTCTTCAGGCAATTTAGCGATGTGTATAAAAACCTTAAAGCTGTACAGACCCTATGGCCCAGCAATGCCACTTTTAGGAATTGACACTAGGGAAGAAAATCCCAATCTGTATGGACATGAACATTCACTTCAGAAATATTATAACAAACATTTGATACAGTATGTACATCCAAAAAGGGCTGGCTACTTAAGTAATGGTATAACCATAAAATGGAATGCTATGGAATTATTACATATTAAAAACACAAAAAGAGAGTAACCGCATCATGGCAGTGTGTGAGAACCTTTTGGTCTCTCCCCTGAAAAGTTACAAGTTGGACAATTATAATTCAACAAAGGATTCCCTGCCCAACACACAAACACGTCTGAGAGATACACATTGAGACATCTGATGGTGGGCACATTAGAGCAAACGGGTGAGGCAGAAGGCAGAAACATCTGATGGTGGGCATATCAGAGCAAGTGGGTGAGGCAGCAGCAGTAGAAGCAGGTTGTGAAGGGGCAGAAGTAACTTCAGTCATAAAGATGAATGAAATATTACTATTTGTGACAACATGGATAGTTCTAGGGGGTATCATGCTAAGTGAAATATGTCAGAGGAAAAGGGAAAGAACTATATAGTTTCATTCATACGTGGGATATAAAATAGAAAGCAACAAATGAACAAAACAAATTCATAGACACAGACATCAGTATGGTGGTTATGAGAGGGGAAGGGGCTGGGGAGGATGAAGAAGGTAAAGGGGGTCAAGTACACGGTGAAAGACGGAGACTAGCCTCTGGGTGGTGAACATACAATGCAACAGACAGATGATGTGTTATAGAATTGTACACTTGAAATTTATATGTTATTAACCAATGTTACCCTAATAAATGTAATTACAAACACGAAAAGACATTTTCAGTATTTTGTTGAGTGCAAAGACATTATGAGTCATTGTAGTTTCATTCAGAAAAATATGTGTACGTATATAGATGTATATACCTATACATAGAAAATCACCAGGAGATAATGTCAACGTTAGTATGGTCAGTGCCCGATGATGTGCTTTTTTCTCTTGCTTATCTTCATTGACTATTTTCTACAAGAAGCATGCATTACTTATACAACAACAACTAAATGAATTACATGTGTATACCCAGAATGTGCTGCTGTCTATCTGTATGACTTGTAGCAAGTATTCAGACCATTCTTCCTTCGGTACCTTTTCTGTAGAGTGTAAATGCCAACCTGGTGCTGCCTCACTGAGTAGCCAGCCAGGAATATTTGTTTATGTGGCAGTATTGCCAAAGAAAATAATCCCTACTATGAAACCTTAAGGCTTTTTCCACATCAGAATTTCTAGGTTGATGTTCCCACCTCTTTTAAACTCTGACTAAATTTGTTTTTCCATTTGACCATGATTGGAAAGGGCCAGTTCACATTAGGATCTGTGTTGTACAGAGATGCTGAGAGGAGTCACATAGAAGATCTCTTCTGTATCTGTGGTCACGACTATTTGCTTATGGAGAGACTAGTGGCCCAGTGCACGAAATTCATTCATGGAGGAGGGGTTCCCTCAGCCCAGCCTGCACCCTCTCCAACCGGATATCCCTCTTGCAATCTGGGACTGCTGGCTCCTAACCACTCACCTGCTGCCTGCCTGATCGCCCCTAACTACCTCTGCCTGCCTGCCCGATCGCCCCTAGCTGCCCTCCCCTGCCAACCTGGTTGCTACCAACGGCCCTTCCCTGCCGGCCTGATCTCGCCCCCAACTGCCCTACCCTGCCAGTCAATTTGGTTCTGACTGGTCAGTTTCTATGCCAGTCAGCGTCAAAAGCTCCACCTCCTAAGCAGCCATTGGCTCCTCACAGTTCACCCAGATTTGGTTCTGATTGGTCGGTTTCTATGCCAGTCAGCATCTCTGGGCCTATCTCCGGGCCTGATCAGAGAGGTGAGGCTGATCAGCAGTCCCTGTGGAGGTCTGGAGAGAAAGAGAAAGAGAGGCAGGGCTGCTGGCGAAGCCTGGAGAGAAAGAGAGAGGCTACAACTGATCAACAGCTGCCACAGAGGCTGCGGATCAGACCCTGCCTTTCTTCAGGCCTGATCTGCAGCCCCCTCGGCAGTCAGTGCTGGGTCACTGGGTTACAGTGACCCAGCACTGACTGCAGGACTAATTTCTGGTGTTTGGTCGAGCCTTTGGTCAGTCATTATGGACCCTGGGTTTTTATATATTAGGATAAAATTTGATGGGACCTGGCAGGGCAGACTAGCTAGATCAAGCATGTCAAACACTTGGCCCATGGACTGCATGTGGCCCACAACGAGTATTTTTGTGGCCCAGCCAATGTAACAGTATGTAAGAAACGTTTTAATAAAAATTTGTAACTTAATTTTTATAATATCCTGTTATTCATAATTATGAAAAACAAACTACAACATTCGCTAATGACTGATTACTATAATCGTGTTGCATGCATTTCCCTTACACACATTACGTGCAGAAGCATCATTTCTCTCCACTAATACTAGCAGCCAATTGCCATGTCATTAGTCTTGGAGTGACTTGTTTGGTGTGTGCAACAGGAAATATTTCACTTTTGGAGAACAAGAAAAATATTTGTGTTATGTTTATTAATTTGCGCAGTTATTCAGTGTCTGGTAAGTTAATGTTCAAGAAAAAATATTAATTTTTATTAAAATGTTCTATTATTTTATGTAAACAATTACTCATTTATTTCAGCCCTTGGTATTCAGCATGTCTCTATTGAAATAAACCTATGTTTCTATGAAAATTGAAGCTTTTGTTTTTTTGTGGCCCATATAAACTTATACCTTGTTTATTTGGCCTATGTTAGCCTTTGAGTTTGACATGTTTGACCTAGACTATAGAATAATACTATGTTTCCTGAAGTAAAGCATTGGTAAGACTTAAATAAATGTGGTATATTGAAAATAAAGATGTTAAAAGAAAATAGTGGGAGGGAAGAAAATAGGCATGAATTAAAATTCTTGAGGTATTTTAAATATGGGTTAAACAGAAATTTTACCCCTTTATTGAATACTAGAGGCCTGGTGCATGAAATTCATGCACGGGGTGAGGAGGTCCCATCAGCCTAGCCTGCACCCTCTCTGATCTGGGACCCCTCGGGGGATGTCTGACTGCTGGTTCAGGATCGGGCCTAAACTTGCAGTCAGACATCCCTCTCACAATCCGGGACCACTGGCTCCTAACTGCGCACCTGCCTGCCTGCCTGATCGCCCCTAACTGCCTCTGCCTGCTGGCCTGGTCACCCCCAACTTCCCCCCTGCCAGCCTGGTCGCCCCTCACTGGCCCCCTCTGCCGGCCTGGTCACTATTAACTGTACCCCCCTGCCAGCCTGGTCACCCCTCAGTGCCCCCCTGCTGGCCTGGTCGCCCCTCACTGCCCCCCTGCTGGCCTGGTCACCACCAATTGCCCCCCCTGCCAGCCTGGTCGCCCCTCACTGGCCCCCTCTGCCAGCCTGGTCACCATTAACTGTACCCTCTTGCCAACCTGGTCGCCTCCAACTGCTCCCCCCACCCCCGCCAGCCTGGTTGCCCTTCACTGCCCCCCTGCTGGCCTGGTCACTCCCAACTGCCCCCCCGCCGGCTTGGTCGCCCCTCACAGCCCCCCTGACAGCATGGTTGCCCCACACTGCCCCCCCTGCCGGCCTGGTCACCCTTCACTGCCCCCCTCTGCCAGCCTGGTCGCCCCTCACTGCCCCCCCTGCTGGCCTGGTTGCCGCCAACTGTGCCCCCTGCCGGCCTGATTGCCCCACACAGCCTGCCGTTCAGTCGTTTGGTCATCCCTCACTAACCCCCCTGCCGGCCTTGTCACCCCATTCAGCCTGTTTGGTCGTCTGTTCAGTTGCGATGGCACCTGGCTCTTTATATATATAGATTGTTGAAAATTTATAATACTAACTGCATGTCT